AGAAAGAGAAAGAGAAAGAGAAAGAGAAAGAGAAAGAGAAAGAGAAAGAGAAAGAGACAGACAGACAGAGACACACCGAGAGAGATAGAAAAAGACAGTCGGTTTTCCAGTAGCGAGGGCCCACAAGACATTTGATTGTTATTGCACAACCTTTTAGAGGAAGTAATTTGCTACGTAGAGGAACAAGGTTTATCCCCGATAATTCTATCGTATTATATAGAGAGAATTGTAAGTACCTAAAAATACAAATTAAAATACATTTGCATCATTGTTGCAGCAGGAATAGCAGAAAGAGCACATTATCAGTAATTGACTTATTTGCCATTTTGAAACTTAACTGCCCGATTATACTGAAACTTTTCTTTGATAGAGCATAGTTCACATTTCAAATAGTGTCCATGCCCTTGAAACAGATTACTTTTTGACAAGCGCTTAATAATTTTTTCTCAAATTTGCTTTTAGTGATGAATTCTGCGAGGCTCTTTTTGATATTTGATTTTGACTGATTGATAAATGATTCCGGGTGAATCAAATGCTAAGGAAATTAGTTCCGTAAGTGTAGTGTATGTTTCTCCTCGGGAGGTGGCGGTGTTCTACCTCCCGCTGGGTGGTGAGATCTGGCGCCGACTAGCGAGCTTCTCCCCAACCAGGTACCTCCCACCAGCGGAGCACCGCCCCAGCCGGGACAAGCTCTAAGCCCCCGACTGGTCTTCCGGCAAGTGTGATAGAGTAGTAAGTGTAAGTGTAAATGAGTTTGAGTAAGGTGTGAGGATAGGAGAAGGAAGGGGATTGAGGGAACGCACGCGGTCCTTAGCCTTTTTGTTAGGGTTCCGGTATTGCTATGGCATTCCTCTGGTGTTGATCGGAGAAACCACGGAAAACTACCTATCAAAACCGCCAGCCATTAGAATTCTCCTCCAGACAGCAACTGATCCAACCTAGCTATGTATCTAGCCAGTGTTGAAAATCCTGCTCCCGTTGGCATTGGAACCGAGGACCTCCCGGTGAGAGGCACTGCAGTGACATCAGTTAATGTCCTGAGGCACCTCTCCCGATATGATCATAGATCGCTATAGCTGTCGCTTCAGAAGAGAATTTTGTCTGAAACAATTCCCGAACCTCTCTAGATTTCTCAGGCGTGGCAATAAGATTCGAATGTCTTGTGTTGTGAACACAGTTCATTTTATTTTGTAACCTTTAAGGCCCGGCTGCTATTCTGTATCTACTTACAGCTCCCGTGTACTTAATCTACAACTGCCCTTGTGAGTTGACATTGATATTCGTTGGTGATATACATTGGAACCTAAACTTGCGTTCAAAAGATTGATACGCTGTTACCGTACGCTGTTATCATCATGGTTCAATGACTAATGCACGTACAAAAACGAACTTTGACTTTAAGAATACTCGTAGTTTTCTTCGGTATCAAGATTTTCCTGGATGACAATTACAAGTTTACATCGCAATATTTTCATATAAAGAATTGTTTTGAAATTGTGACTAGAACTCACTTCAATCTTAGTTTCTAACCAGAAATAGTATTCAGGTATCCTCTTCCGAGTATGCTGAATTTCTGGTATTTTAAACGGAATAAGGAAACATGATAAAGTATTTTCTTAGCAGCGGAATAGTGTTTTGAGCGGACAGTTTTCCATGTTCAGCTTCATTGCATGAGTACGTTTTGGAAAGGAATGTTATTAAGAAGGAGTTTTCAAATCTGTAGGTATGTCAGAAACGAAGCAACATTGTAAACGAGATGCATACTATAGGAATTGGAGTTACTTTGTTAGGGATTTTGAGTTATTTCCTCACTTGTTAGTTAGTTCGTACTTTAAGGTAAAAAGGCATGTTGCAAAATGTAGGTCAGATCCTTTTCTAAAGACTCAAATGACATTTTCTCAAAACGGCTCGAAATTGTTCAACGAAAATTAGCATGTAGCACTATGTTTTACTCTTAATATTATACTGTAATTAATATTTACTGAAATTAATATTCAAAGAGTGAAATTTAAATTTTACCATTAGGGGCTGAAAGGATGAAAAAAAGGTAAGCAAATTTCCTTTAACCGCCTTTGGTGGCAGCTGATAAGAGATTGGAACAAAACCTAAAAGATAGCCCAGACTAGTGTAATTCATTAACTTGGTGTTCTTAATTGACAGTTCGTAGAATCCATTAGTGTGCGACGGCCTTTAAGAGGGTATTTTCGTTTCTCTTTCTTATTACGTTAATTCGATATAATAGAACAGTTTGATGAAAAAGAATGAATGTATAATCCGTGGAATTATTATAGTAAGCAATTACACATATAAACTTATACCGTAAAAATATACCATAGACATAGTATTATTCAGACGCATATCTTTGAAGTATTATTTATTATAATTGGTTAAATCTCACTTTAATAACAAACACAACAATGCTTGAATAGTAATTAACATTTATCTGATAGTGGCACAATTTAATAACTACCAAAATTCTAATAATTTACGCAAATACTATTTGTATTTCAATTCAAGGGCTTTAGGAAGTAATAAGAAAAGCCACAAGAGTCTCGCTATTCTAAATATTAATATCTCGACTTTGGTTGAAATGCGTCACTTGGTTACTGCCTCAAACTCTTCTTAAATATGATAAAGACAAATATAGTCATTAGCGGGAGACTTGCAGTGGCAGTGTGTTTATCACCTTGCGACTCCAAGCTCTTCAATTGTTAATAATGACAAAAGTAAATACCGCCTTTAGTTAATAGTAAAATATGTTACAACTGTTAGACATACATATTTCAATCGAATTCCGTAACTTGGGTGAAAGAATTATTAAAGCTCAAATTTACTTCCGATGTCACCCAAAACAAAATTACATAATAACTATTTAGTAATGAGTATTCATTTTCATGGTTGACATGTTGTGTATGCTGAACTATCATTAACCTTTTTTGTTATTTGAGCATAATTGCCTGTAGCATAAAGCAGAAAGGTGAAATAATGTTAATCCTTTCATATTAATCCAGTGATAATTATAAGCCAATTTGTTACTTTGTAACTTGAAAATGATCACTAACAAATACTTCATTCTCAGTACAGTTTTCTTTGAATAATTTACTAGATTTTTTATTTAAAAATAAACAAACAAATATTTGCGCTCCATTAACACCTTTCCTAGGTTTTTGCGAAAATTCCTATCCTACCTCGACTCATCTATTCTAACTAATTTGCAATGTTGTACAAAATGGATTGTTACCTGGGTTCCTTTCAGCACGTAGACGCAATTTTGGCAGTTAGGCGAGAGAAGAGCGGTCGTCTAGCAGTCCAAGCTCCCGCCACTGACCTTGGACCCCGCTCTGTGAAGTCCGGGCTGCGACCGACTCTCGCCCCGTGCAGGAACATCTGGCAAACGCACGGCATCTGTTAGTTATTTGAATATACACCAACATTTGAACGTGTAATAGAATTAATTTAACCGTGCACTTGACGTAAATCATCTGTTCAAGAATTCATCCAATAGGGAGCTTGAATGTCTCCATAGTGATGTCACTGTAGCTCCCGATTTGATGAAACCGCAACAGCTGATTAACACCAAGTGTACGACTAAATAAATCGTACTATAGTCTGTACATTTTGTGTGCAATTATTCTATCCAATTTCACACAGCTCACAAACGGATTCGTTACACACTCACAGTTCATTTTGTTCGTACGATCGTGATAATTTAAAATTATGTTAATTTGCAACACAATGATACTCTTCCCGAATTTGTTTGCGTTCTAACTAATCACTCTCTTTAGATTTTTCTTTTACACACTTGCACTAATGAAAATGACATAAATAACCACACACCTTTAATTGCATTCACTAACATACCAACAACTAATTCACACTCTCGTTGTTCCTTTGCGATTTGGACTGTATGTGTCGAGTGGAAGTTACTGTTTGCCAACACATTTCCCCAGTTTATAATGAGAAACGTGGCTCACTTTTCAATAAAGTCTTCGTGTTTATTTTCACCGAACAGTTCTCGTTTTACGCGCGGCAGCGGCGTTAGCGGCATGACCTGACTACTTTCCTCGCGCGAAGGAAACAGTATCAGCCCCATTTTGCCACTTCCGCGCCCTTTTATAAAATCTTAGCCGTCACCGCCTCCTGAATGTTGGCCGTGCTCGTTCAATTACGAAAGAATATTAGTCGAAAATATTCTCTGAATTCTTTGACAAGGCACAAACTTCTAAAGTCTAATGTTTGTTTTCCTTGTTACAAGTATCTCACATAAGCATTTTAGACTAGTTCTTCGTCTTTATCGTAGCGTACGAGATAGAATCGGCTCACTTTTGCGAGAATATGGTGAACGACAACATCTGAATGACGTATTTATTCAGGCGAGGATCCACGGGGAGGGAAATCCCCCCCCCCCCCGAAGCATCGGAAACTATAAACATGGATTTAAGCATCGGAAACTATTCATTTTAACAAGCCACGAAACTTTCAAGCAAAAACATTTTCGGATCATCATTAACACGAATAAAATCGTATTGGAGCGTGAGCTGAGTGAAGCCTGCGACATTTTACAATATATGTAAATTCACACATTCGACCAAAACATTTGGAATTTACCCTCCTAAAGTTTGTCTCTGGATCCGCCACTGATTTCTAACCTCATATTTAAGCAGTGGCGTTTCGCTGATCAAGTACCGTGCTCAAGTACACGGCGAGGCACCGGCCTGTGGCCTTCTCGATTAAAATCAAATATCTTTTAGTCTATCCAACGCATTTTATGCAACAGTACTTTGTAGCTGAACACTTTTGATTTCATATTTCGACGCTTCGCTACGCGCGCCAAAGTTGTGTAATCAGGCTCCGGTCTTCCATCTAAGCGATTAATATATAAAACATCAGTGAGCCTGTGCAAAGCATAATTTCCAATTGTCAATCGAATACAAGTATCGTATATAACTGTCAATCGAATACGTAAACACAATGTCCTGCTTGCAGCAGCTCGTGTTCGCCTTTGTTCACATATCTCGGGACATCAGAGTCCACTCCGTACGTTTCAGGACAAGACCCAAGTACTGTTTCATCATATACCCGTGAATCTGAAGACATCAATATGCATTTCGAATTGATTTCAAAGTAAATGTAAATAAAAATAGAGGGTTTTTTTGAGTTTCAACAGGTATTGTGTGTAGTACATTTAATGTTTTTGTATAATAATGCTGATTTTAAATGTATTTTTATTTGCTATCTTATAGATAATAATGTAAATAATTGATTCAATGGATGACATTCTTTAGTACAGAAAATTAGTTAAATGTGTATTTGTGTATTATCATAATTGGTTTCGGGGAGGGGGTTATTCAAATGAGCCCCCCTCCCCCATTGAATTAGCCATTCAAAATAATACAAAAATGTAGATGTAATTTTTGCGATAATATTTACTTTTTATCACCTTATTTACGAAGATTGTGCAAAAATATACATAACACGCTGGATTTTTTTGTATTTGAAACCAAAATATACTTATTTTTTTGTTAAAAAATCGTATAATTTAATCGCACTGCTTCCTTGTGTCACCCTGCAACAAGTCAATACTTTGCGGCTCGATGAATTTCTTTACAAATTGTAGTTAAGTTCGATTTGATTGATTAGCGCCTAAAACACTGAATATCATGTGAAGAAGTAGTATAATTTGCGCACGTTTTCTTAAGTTCAAAATCTCTACTCCACTCTTTCATAATTATTGGTTGTATTATAAATAAAAATAACGATAGGCACAGTAGACATCGTTAGAAAAGTAGACCTTTTTCCATCCAAGTAATAAAGATCGTATTTACATCGACAAACGAAGTACAGATTTTATAGAACTTCTGAGAAAATAATAGTCCTCACTGACATGTTATGTTAGTGAAACCAGAGCTTATCGTTCAGTTTGCTGACAGTTGTGTTCAATTGCTAAAACCACTCCTGTCGCAATCCACACCGAAAACAGCAAATCACATAACAGTGACAACCTAAAAATTCGCATCAAAACATTGCGTTTGACCACTTCTGATGCAAGTGGAACTGATTGTGAATAAAGTAACTCAGGGTCCCGGCAGGTCTCCACAAGGGTATTCTTTTCTGATTCCCCAGTTTCTCATTGCATCTTCTGCTCCCTTTTCATGCTCATGACTTCATCATCGTCATCGTCATTATTAGATCTCACCATAAACCTTACTGGAAGACCCGGCGCCGGAGATTTCTGTGGTTGGAACTAGGGTCATTGTGCCTCCTACCGAAACACACGCCATTCGATTAATAAATACACTGATAAAATTCTTCATATAGTCATTTTCAATCATGTATTAGGAGACAAAATATTCCAAGTATGCAGAGCTATGAAATCGTTATTTATTGGATTTATTTATAAAAATTATTTATTAATTATTATCTATAATCAGTATTTAGAGATTTTGTTGCATTTCAGGATGCTGGAGGCATCGATCAGTTCGCGAGCCACCCTCGGCGACTGGCTGCTGTTGGCAGCCGGATTCCTGCTCGTCCTCTACGTCGTGGGCACCTGGAACTTCGACCACTTCCAAAAGAGAGGCATCCCGTCCACGAAGCCCACGTTCCCCTTCTGGGGGGACTTCGCCCCTCTCCTCCTCGGACAGCGCTCCTTGCACGACGTCGTCCACGACGTTTACAAAAGGGGAGAGGGGCACGGAGTGTTTGGATCGTTTGAACTAAATAATCCTGTTTTAATGATACGCGAACCAGAACTGCTGAAAGTGGTGTGCGTGAAAGAATTCGACAGTTTTGTGAATCATCGAAGTTTCGCCAGTGAGAAGGTTGATCCAATATTTGGGAAGAATCTTATTAATCTCAAAGGTTTGTTTTCTGGGAAACTTTTTTACATAAACTAAGAACGTGCCTCGTACTAAACAACAAATCATATAATTCGAATTTAAAAAAAATAGTTAACAGTCTCTTTTTAAAAATTTCCCCTACAAGTCTTAAGACAAAGGTTACGCAAGTGATTCAAAGATATTGCAAAAGTAATACCACTAGTAGTTTTAATTTCGTGATGAATGGCAGATTTCGGTTTGCTGAGAAAATGTGACAATTGTTACTCCCAGGCGCACAATTTGAACTAGGGTACGTCTCTCCGACATAAAATTGCGAGGGTACAAATGTGTCAACAGATTTGCTTTCGATGAAACGGATTGCAATTCAAAATACTTAGAACAAGTACGCAACCATTGTGAAACTTCTTTTCATGAAAATTACGGTGAAAGGCGCTCCGGTTCATTTCGGTCCCTTCTGCGGAGTCTGTTAAACGATCTGGTAATACGTACCTGTGAGTAAAATAATGTATATCAGGGTCGGAAACGGACATTTTATTAATCTGAAGAATGTACAACTAATGCCTTCTTTTAGTTTATTTAAAACTACCCCAAAATTAGAGCACATTCCCATTAGTGTTCTTACTTGGACTTAATTTCTCATCAAATGAAACTATAAACACCTTCTACACGTCCGGAAGCTAGAGAATTTCTTTCAATTTCTGCGGCATCTTAAATTAATAATATAGATAATTTTTCCTTATGTCTGCAATGTTGAAAATATATCACTCATCACAGTAATAGCGGACAACAATGCTATTAATAGAAATGTAATATCGCGTATAATAAAGAAGTTCCATGGATTACTCGATTATAAAAGAAATGTTTGCATCTTAAATTTTGTGTAAGTTGATATTCATATTTTAAACAATATTCAGATGATCTTTTTAAAAAAATAGAAGGCATATGCCGTATGAGAGAAAAATCTTGCTCATGTGAATGAAATGTTAATAAAAGTAACGGCCGTTAATGAAAGTAACAGTCGCTTAAAACTAAACTAGAAATTTCAATGTCATACTTGAATTTAGTAATCACGAATTAGTCTTAAATTCGCTACTCGTAACAGTCGCCGCATGTAGTTATTGTGAATATGCCATCGGCGGGAACAACAGTGCGGTACGGGCAGACCCTACTCACACACTAATTACATAAAAATCCGGCCTCGTCTCATGGCTGCTGTGCGGCCCCCTGGCTCGCACTATCACAGGCGTGGCTCCCCTGATATTCAAGTTTGGCGGTCCCTCGTGCTGCCTGCACGGGGCTCCGTCATAACGAAATGAATTTCCATTGAGAAATAAATAAAATAAAACTGGCGTAGTAATAAGCACATTAGGGGGTGAAGCGAAGGGGGGATCGGAAATATAAGGGCAGAGGCGTTGGTGCGGACGATTTTCTGTGGCGGTTTGATTTCAGGTGCTGAGGAGGCCAAACACAGGAAGGAGACGGTGGGACGCCCGCGGCAGAAAATAAATAGTTAAAATAAACGTCGGATAGATTAATTTGTACTCGGCTTTTGACGGCAGGTTTTCCCCCTTCAGGTGTTTTTTCCTGAGCCGTACCTTATGGTCTCTTTTCCGCGGCTTTGATGCAACGGAGAGACCATTTGGGGTGAATACCAGAATTCGAAAGATTAGAACGCGAAAGGATGTAGGTATTGTAATGGCTTAAAGGCCTTCGGCCTAGCCACATAGGATCATGTAAGCTAATTTGTTTGTAAGAATTACCTAATAAATAAATAAAATAATAAATAATTTCCATTGAGAGCAAATAATTTAATAGGTTTTCTCATTTGTAATACACATATTCCATTTAACAATATTCGCGTACTAAAATAAAGTTTAAACGTCATGAGGGATGAAAACAGTCCATGATAATATTATCTTCGATTTTTTTCAGATCAAACATGGAAAGACATGCGAGGAACACTGAGTCCTGCATTCACCACCAGCAAAATCAAGGCGATGTTGCCTCTTATGACTCAATGCGCTCAACAGCTCACGGAATATTTGCGCGAAAAATACGACAGCAGTGAGGAAGGTGAGTAATTAAACAGATGGCAATGTGAACATTGTGAACTAAATGTACTAAGAAATTTTCTCAAAAAGTAATAGTAATAAATAAGAACATGCTTTAACCATAAATGTGAGACAAAAAACATTAACACTATTTCTATTGTAATTTTGAAGTTCCATTGTGTTTTCGTGCATGCTAGCAATAATGTTACAATTTTAAAAAACAATTCACGTGAGCAAAAAATACGTACGAGTACGTTTATTTACTAAACTGCGCTAAAATATAATTTTTTTTATCATTTCGAAAATATTTACGAACTACCTGGTGTTTAGGATCTATGAAGAAACCTTTAGTTTTGGACATGAAAGAGATTTTTTCACGAATGACAAATGACATCATCGCCACTACGGCATTTGGGGTGAGTTGCGACTCGCTGAAACATCCAAACAACGAATTCTTTACCAGAGGAAAGCAGCTCACCACTTTCGGCGCACTGCAAAGTGCAGTCTTTTTTGCATACATTGTCCTGCCCAAGTTAATGGAGGTATATCCTTTTTATTATTTGTTATTTATTTTATATTACATATATAATTTCATATATTTCATATATTTTATTTATTTATTTACAGATACAATTTTTAGATAATATTAATTTTTTAGTGATTCTGGGAATGTCAACTGCAAATATCACTAGTTCCGTAAGTGTAGTACGCGTTTTATCGCGTTTGATGGCGAGGCGTATATATGAAATGGGATCTAAGTTTCTTGCCATGTCATTAAAGGATATAGGATAGGGATGTATATGCTCCTGAAACTTACCACTCATGACCGCGTTGAGGTATTTCATGTTTTGAATGTCGTCGTAGGAGGGCCTCCCGTCGGTCCTTTCCATGACCTCGTCCACTTCTGCCTGGAGGCGCCTCTGGATATCAGGATGATGGGAGAGAACAATCGTCGCCAAACACAATGTTGATGTGATCGTCTCAAATCCCCCATGTCGGTTCGCGAGTTTTTCCTTGATCAATTATCTCTGCCCAGCGGAACATCATCCTGTCGGGACAGGCTCTAAGCTCACGACTAGGTGTCTAACAGAATAGTCGTGTAGAGAGTGTGAGTAAGGGGTGAGGATTGAACTAGAAAGAGGAAGCAAATATTCCACGCGGCATGGTTGTTAGAGTACTGCTTCTGCATTTTCCTGGTGAGGATAGGAGAAAACATAGAAAACTATCCATCAGACGCCGGTAGAATTATCCTCCAGACAGTGTCCGAATTCGACATACATATGCAGCTAGTGTTGAAAATCCTGACACCGTCGGGTCTCCCTGAGCCAAGTGCATGGATAAGAATTTATGTGTTGTTGACAAGTACATAATGTGCACGTTTTGTTGAGCGCCAGAATCCCTTCAATACAATGAAGCAAAACTCTCAGACGTTTAATAACACATTAGATTTTCCCAAAATTCGACTCCAAATTTGGTCGGTAAATTCTATTTTACGAGAGTAAAGCTCGCTCCATAATACGGCGTAGATTTGACTTTCATTAAACCTACGGAATATCAAAAATTTCAGAAGTAAAATTTCAAATCTGTTCAAAACCTGCATTATTTAAATCATAGATTTGTTAATAAATACTATTCCTCAATAATATATCTTTAAATAATATATTTTTTTTAAATGTTACACGTGTTACGGTCATTTTGACTTCATAATCAATTCTATTAAACCTGTTGTAGTGCTAGTAGTTACAGTTCCTTATCTAACCGACACGAACATGTGGCTAACATGCATTGCTTATTATCTAACTGACATAATTGGTCATGAAGTTTGCATTTTATCTAACTGAATTATGGTATTAAGCTTCCACAATTCGCGCGAATGTATTTTCAAATGGTTGTTTGTTTCTGTTCTTCACAGACTACTCGGAGCTGTAGTTTGACTCTTCCGTAACGCAGCCTAAACTGCTCTTTTTGGTTCAGAAAACGGGCATCCGGATCCTCAACACGGAGGCGACCGCCTTCTTCAGGGCTCTGGTGCACGGCACCATCCGAGAGCGCGAACAGCGGGGCATCGCGCGCCCAGATGTGCTGCAGCTGCTCATGCAGGCCCGCCACGGCAAACTCACCGCGGACAAGGCAGATGCGGCGGAGGCCGAGGACCTGGGAGGCAGCGCCAAGCGTATGTCTTTTGCTCATTTTCGTGCTTATGATTTTGCATTTCATCTTTTTCGAAGAGACGAATCATTCACTCGTGCATCTAAACACAAGGGCCAGAGCAACCTCACCAAAAGCGCCGAGAAGCGTCACGTCAGGAATTCCACAAGGAAGTGTAATCGGACCACTCGTGTTTCTGGCTTTCGTGAATGAATTGCCGACTAATTTAGCTTCAAATGTACGACTCTTTGCAGATGACTGCGTAATCTATAGGATTATCAACTCGGAGAAAGACGAGGAAATTTTGCAGCGAGACGCTTTTTGCAGCGGCATGGAAATAAACAGTTCAAAGAGCAAGTACATCACGTTTGGTAGGGGTCGAAGTTACGATGAATCTGTGTACAAACTGAACAATAATGTTATACCTCGAGTCACGTCTTGCAAATACTTAGGAATACAGCTAGACAGTAAACTGAGCTGGGAAAATCAAGTCAATTTCGTTGTAGGGAAAGCGTGGAAATCTTTACATTTTGTTATGCGGATACTGAAAAAGAGTACAGTGAGAGCCAAAGAACTAGCATATATGTCATTAGTGCGACCTATATTAGAATATGGCGCGGTATGTTGGGACCCATAAAGACTTTTGCAACAAAGAAATCTAGAAAAAGTCCAGCATCAACATTTACTTTCAGGGGTAGCAAGAATAAAGGGGTATGGGAGTCACTCGAAATGAGAAGATAAAAGTCACGTCTCTATGCAATGTATAAAGCTTACACAGGCCTTCGAGCGTGGAAAGAAATTCAAAGTCGATTAGGGAAACCTACATATTTCGGCAGAG